TATAACTTGTATTATTCTGACGTGACTTTTCAACTTGTTTGGGCTATGGCCATCATTGACATTGATATACTTCTTTAACTCCGTACAAAACTGACCCATCCAGTCAGAGGAGGCGTGGTCACCAATTTACATAACTCAGTCTCTAGGCTAATGGACAAAGTTAACCCATGCTTGGATTCCCCTCACAGCACACATAGAAGGACCGTTCAGGTAAGTCAATGGTCGATTGGAGCCCGGAAGCCCTTGTCAACAGGAGTGTTGTAGATTTTATAGGCAGTCCCCAACTTACAAGCATCATTGGGACCGGATTTCCTATTGTTAAGCAAGGTGGCTTTTTAGTGAGTTGTGCTTGATTTTTGTCACAGCCAGTTAAGCAAATCTCACAGTTGTTAAGTGAATCCAGCTTCCCACATTGACTTCCTTGTTGGAAGCTGGCTGGGAAGGTCCCAAAATGGCAATCAAGTGACTCCATAATTCCACAACCATTATCTATACGTGCCCAGTATTAATTTTGACCATGTGACCATGGGGATGCTTAAAGGGGTCAAAGGTTAGTTGTGAGTCACTTTGTTTCAGGGCTGTTATTGTAACTTGGATCAATTGCTAAATGAATAATGATCAGTTGAGGACTACCTGTATGGAGGGACAGGTGTTCTTGAGTTGTTGGGATTGAAAGGGCTGCAGAAGAGATGCTTTGTCTGACCCAGGTGCTCCTCCAGTGGTAATTTCAGAGGTATCTTTGCCCAGCATGTTAAGCTGCATTATGCTAACGATAAGGAGAGAGTGAAATGAGAGCACCTCTCCTAAGGTGTGTAAGACCACACCTAGAATCCTGCATCCAGTTTTGGTCACCACACCGTAATAAAGGTGTTGAGACTCTAGAAAGAGTGCAGAGAAGAGGAACAAATATGATGAGAGGACTGGAGGCTAAAAGATATGAAGAATGGCTGCAGGAACTGGGCCTGGCTAGTCTAGTGAAGAGAAGGACCAGAGGAGACAGGATAGCGGTCTTCCAATATTTGAGGGGCTGCCACAGAGAGGAGGGGTTCAAGCTGTTTTCCAAGGCAGCTGAAGGCCAGAAAAGGAATAATCACTGGAGGCTTTCAAGAAGAGACTGGACTGCCATCTGTCAGAAATGGTGTAGGGTTTGCTTGGGCGAGGGGTTAGACTAGATGATCTACAAGGTCCCTTCCAACTCTGTTAATCTGTATTTGTATCTGAGAGCACCTGCCACAACCTCACGGATTTAGGTTTTACATTCTCCAGGCTTCAGGGTTTTAGGATGCAGGTGAACCTGTTCAAGTACTTCCTCAGGGGTACCGAGGCACAGGGGAGAAGGGCCTGTTCTCAGGTGCATTATGGCTACGGCTTAGCCTCCACATTCTGCTGAAGCAGCAGGGGGAATCAAAATTAAAATTTGCCAGTATTAATTAGTACCATAAATGGAGGCAATGAATGCCTGTAGGCACTTCATGAATGTTTGAAACGTGAGTTTTTATTTCTTGCATAATTTACAGGCTATCGTGTTACTGTTTCTTGGCATTTCAACTGTCCCCTTCCTCTGTTTGTTTTTTAACAGCCAGAACGAATTTCCGGAGAACAGTACGGCATTCATTCTGATGTTTGGAGTCTAGGAATTTCCTTCATGGAGGTGGGTGCCTTACATTTTTTTTTTGTTGTCCCCCCCCCCCCGCCCCCAAATAACACCTTTAATTCTGAAATGCAAATGAAACAAATAGCAAAAAAGAATCTTTCATCAGCCGAGTCCCTGTGATGATGCCCAGGTCTTCATTCTTAGCTGCTCCCTGGTCTCTTCTAAGAGGAGAAAATGTCTGGATGGGGGTCCGTAGAGGGTTTGCCAAGTCTTGGGTTGCACTGCTGAGATGTCTGTGGAGATTCTCCCATCACCCAGGTCATAGTTGTCCCAAAGGGACTTTTTCAGGACGCAACTGGGCTTTCTTTGTTTTTGCTTGAAGACGTTTCACTTCTCATCCAAGGAGCTTCTTCAGCTCTGAACTGAACCTGGATGACCGAGTATCTCCATCAACAGGGTTCCTGTGCAATTCCTGTAGTGATGGCTTTCAAATGCATACCTGAAAGACTCCTGGTCTCCTTCAGTTCTTCAGCCAGAGGGCAGGGAGAGGCCCTTGCAGCCTATGCGGAAGAGAGAGGGCCGAAGGCTGGTTGCTCTCAGGTTTCCTTCCAGTGAAGAATTCCTGGTTGCCAGTCTTCCTCTTTGAACGCCAAGTTGGTGAATCAGAATACCGTCAGTGTGGGGAAATGGGCCAGTCTGGCTCCTATCTGAAATCTGACTGGGAACAAGTGAGGCCCCGCAGCTCTATCCACTTGGGTTTTCCCCACAAGTACAAGCAGACCTGGGGGCCAAGAGGCAGAATTGCAGTGAGCAGTTGTGATTGTCATCTGAGTTCGGCAATTGTGCCTGGTTGCAATGCAGCGTCAGCCCAATCGGTCCAGACAGACTTTTCTCCAGGCATTTTTTTCTTTTCCTTAATATATGTTTTGCTTTGGGGTCTTAAAGGGATTTCATAAACGTTTACATTTTGCCTTCATTTTTTATTTCTGGCCATGTTAAGCATTTTTTTAAAATGAAAACCTGGTATTTAATTCACCAATGAATAGGAATGGAGAAAATTTCTCCCAATGCTAAGTATTACACTGTTTCCCTAACATGTACTGTATATGGTGGGGGCTTCTGGTGACAGAGGAGGGTCTTTGACGGGATTTGATCAGGTCTAATAGCTGGATCCAGCTTTGTGTGAAAGTTCATATTAAGAGTATTTGTTTCATGACGATTTGCTAGCATACTGGATAGAGCTTCTATCCCCAGGCCTTCCTCCCCATAAAGCATTTCGGAAGGTCTTCCTTCCCCTATCAGATGCATTGACCATCTATCATATGGGAACTCTTTGGGAAAGGGGGGCTCAGATGGCCAAGCAATTGTTTTCTAGTTTCTGGCTGCCTTGGTTTCCTAGCCTGACTCTGGCAATCCTTGTTCTGCCTCATATCATGTCTCAAAGGTGTTTTCTCCTGGACTTTCTCCACTCCATGTGTATATGGACTCCCCAAAATCCACAGAGAGAGATCTCCACTCAGACCAGTTGTCAACTGCATCAATCCCATCTCCTGCAACCTTGCAAAACATTTAAACCCCCTTATTAACTCTTCCGATTGGCAACCCCATCACATCAACACTTCACAGGACTTTGTCAGCAAGTTTTAGAAACAAAATTGGATCTAGATGAGTCTGTGGTTTGTTATGATGTGACTTCACTCTTCACCTGCATTCCCATACCTGAAGCTCTCACGGTAGTGAAGAAACGACTGATACAACTCAGCACATTAGGCGACAGAACCAACCTCAGCCCAGAGCCATGTTGGACTTCTGCCTAATCACTACTACCAATTCAATAAAGTCCAGTTGCCTTTTGAAAAAGCACCTTTGGGACAACTGTGACCTGGTTGTCTGAGAATATCCATAGATATATCTGTGATGGAAAAATGGGAGGGACTGTCAGGCGTGCCTCACTCAGTATCCAAGAAGGAAAAACCCCAACTCCATTTAATTAGAGAAAAGATACTTTTACTGGACACAAAATGAAAACAGCAAAAGTGAAGCAAGATCTGAAGCAAAAAAAGGCAAACTTGTACATATCAAATGTTTACCCAAAACCTTTCCCCCAGTTACCTCAACCCAATGTCCAATCTCCAGCTCCCAAAGGTGTCACGTGGGGCGCATCTTCAAGTGGCCTCATTCAGTTGGTATGCAGAGACAGTTGGCCTTGACCAAACCCAAACACGAGCCTTCAGCATGCGCAGAAGATGGTGAGAACAAAACTCCCTTTTTCGTGATATCTCCACCAGCACTTTTCCCCTCCCAAATACTATGAGCCCCCACCCTCCCCGCTACTATGGCAGCTGATAGCAAGCATGCAAGGTAGAGGCTGACAGGGAGCTTCCTCTTCCTGTGTCCCCACTGCGGAAGATCAACCTCGGGTTGTTGGGTCCCCACAGAATTAGCCCAACAACCACAGGTTGATCTTCCAGGGTTGCGATGGAGGGGGTAAAGCCCCATTACCGTTGACAAGGGAGGTCTCACTTATTCTCCCTCCTTACACAGTTGCCCAGCTCTCCTCTTTCCTTGTCTGCCTTATCTGTCTCATGAGTCACAGGCATGGAACAGTTTGTCTCTCTGCTTTGTTAATTGGTGTGTCATCTCCTCCTCCTCCTCCGAGACGTCCCTTCAGCACGATCGTTGTTTTATTGGAGTGGTTTGAGTGACGGGTTAAACGAGCAAAGTGAGGAAAAAATGTGTTGCAGAAGGCGAGGTGCCTCTCTCTCTCAAATTGCCCAAGGTCGTGGCTATTGAAGACTCGCTGCCTGCTAATGCTCAGACAAGTCAGAGGACCCGGAGTTGATGCTGGAATTTCCAGATGCCTCTTCTGAACAGTTCTGGTTTTGGTTCACTAGGTCAGGGGTGTCAAACTCAATTTCATTGAGGGCCACATCAGGGTTGGGTTTGACCTCAGAGGACTGGGGCGTGTGGCCAGCTTGATGTCATTCATCAAGGATCTGTTTTTGATTATGACACCTCCTGCAGCTCTCTGCCAGTGAAAACGGAGCACAGGAGGGCCGCATGCAACCCTCCAGAGCTCTGTTTTCACTGGCAGAGGGCTGCAGGAGGCCGTTTGGACCTGGAACCTTTCTTTTGAGATGTTGGCTCCCCTCCCTCCCTCCCTAGCTCTGTGTGCCAGTCATAGATTGTATGGCATCCCTTCCATGCCTTCATCTTAAACATCTCTGAAGATGTTGAAGAGCATTTGAACCTTACCCTCTTTCATTTTGGATATCAAGTCTACTTATGGTCGGCATTCTGTCTTGAAATGTACCTCTTGAAAGAAAAATACAACAAATATAAGGGGCGATGGCTTTCCTTTTTTCTGGTTCTATTAAAAGAGATTATGAAAGGAGAAAAAAGATGAGAACAAGATGTACCCTCTTGGGGGACCTGGTTATGAATCCTGTAATATTGTGCTGGGACTGGCATTTTCATCTCTGCGCCATAATAGCCCCGGCAGCTCCTTGTCACAACTCTTTGGGTTGTATTTGAACTTCTGCCATTCCTCTGTCATCCAACTGTGGCATTGTTCTATTCGTTTCTTTGCCCCTGCGTTCAGGCTCCGGTTGATAAACCAGAAGTCATCATTTGTGACCTCACTCATCTTCAAAGATATGCTGCGGTTCTGAAGAGTTGTAGACAATGTGGTTTTCTTCACCATTTTCTGTCAAATGCCAGGAAAATCAGGAAATTCAGGCACTTGAAATGAGTATAAAGATTTATCTCACAACTCTATAAGAATCTGAACTACTAACGGTCAAGGGAAATTAGCGGGAGATAAGAAAGGCATTGAAGCTAGGCTGGACTTAGATCGCTTCTGGGTGTGCAGGGACTCATGAGTGATGACACGTTTGACCCTTCCCTCAGATTCAGCCTGGTCATCTCTTACATTTTCAACAGTCAAATTTGGTGATTGACTGGCATCCCATCAGAAGCAGGCAGGGTTTTGCATCTCGGAGACGTGGTAAAGTTGATGCCCATGACTCTAGAGTGGCCTAGAATTGATGCATTACTAGACCAGGTGACTTGACTTGTAACCCTTTTCGTTCCACTCCTGTAAACCTTAATCATACGCTGCACAACTCTCACTCTGCATCTGTTTCTGAAAGATAGGGAGGTCAGTATTAACTAATCCCATTTAAAGTAGCATTATTTCCTCATTCTTAGTCTAAAGATTTCAAGTAGTTGTTAATTGAACGCATTAGATGGATTTAGGCACATTTCAGTAGTTACGGTATGATTTGTTTTAAATTGCTTTAACTGTTTTCTCTACCACATTTTCAACTTTCCCCAGACTAATAAAAATCATCCTTTTATAACCAACTATCCAAGGAACCATCAGTGATTTGGTGGCTTTAAATCACTCTATTATAAGAGACAGACTAAAAAAAAATGTGGCAGCCTTTAAAATACTTTTTAAATGAAATGCCTTATAGCTCGGAATGACTTCAGGAGGCTGATAACAGCATTTGTCAACTTTGCCAACTATGAAACGAGTGGGCTTCAATTCCCAGAACTGCTGGCTGGGAAATTCCGGGAATTGAAGTCCACCCATGTTCAAGTTGCCATGGTTGAGAAGCACTACTTTAGAGGTAATTGTCCATCTCTTCACCAGGATTTTGTCCCCACTTCTCAACTCAGTTCCACCTGATCGGCATCTGCATGAGTCCCCCAGAATCTCTAAAGGGGAGAGGAGGGCAGGAAGTATGGTTGCCCAACAGCAATCCTGCAACTTTAGCTGATCTTATATCCATTCCTTGAAGGCGTCGGCCATATCATGTAAAACGGTGAAAAAACTGGTTGAAACAGAATAAAGATGAAGGTTCCCCTCGCACATATGTTGCTGGTCGTTCCCAACTCTAGGGAGTGGTGTTCATCTCCATTTCAAAGCCGAAGAGCCAGCGCTGTCGAAGACGTCTCTGTGGTCATGTGGCCAGCATGATAACCCTGAAGGCACACGGAACGCTGTTCCCTTCCCATCAAAGGTGGTCCCTATTTTTTCTACTTGCGTTTTT